CATTGGGCCAGTAGGTCTACTGCAAAACTACTGTTATCGGATAAGACAGTGGACAAGGTTGATAAGTGGGGTTGTGGTTCGTCCCTTGGTGTGTGCGGCCAGCAGTAACAGCCTGGTTGGATCAAGACGCAGATGCAGTATAATACGCAACTTTACTGATGACGTTTTACCCACACAGTGAGCTTTATCAAGCCACAAACAAATGTTTGTGACTTAATAAAGCGCCACTATGTGGGTCAAACATTGTCAATAAAAGCATCGCATTATACTGCATTTACCTTTACCAATATTGTTGGTATTTTATGCCATTTCTTCCCAACAGCCTGGTTGATCAGGCGTTGATCCAACAGGAGGACCGGGCCGCGGGGCATTGACCCTTGAATATATCCTCCAGGAGAGACAAAGTAGACATAAAGGAAAACAAAGAGATGGCAGCAGGAGCGGCCAGACATGAATCTCATCACTGGTGTCTCACCAAAGAAAGGAAAGAAGGTTTATCTTATTTAGTCTTATTTTTTTTATATATACTATTATATGATGACTTCATTCAGAGAGGTGGAAAGATAATGAAGTATAATGGTGTAGGACTGAGAGTACAGTGCATTAGTGTTAGATGTTCTTGCTAGACGTGACCAGCCAGTACTCAGTTATGGCCGACTTATATCTTTAGTTATCAGCTCTATTTCTGCTTTATTTTAACTGCTTTGTCTTTGTCAATTATGTGATGGCAGGGTAGGGATCGAAGGGAAAGGTGCCAGGTTGGGTGACCCTCAATACTACCAATTTCATTGTTACTAGTAAGTAAATTAGACACTTGGGTATCTGTATTGCAGAAACGTTTCGCCACACATTGGCTTCATCAGTCCAATACAAAGAATAGATTGAACATCGACTCCATACTGAGGGACTGATTACCTCAAACTCCTGATCGTCAACCATTCTTCTTTGTATTGGACTGATGAAGCCACTGTGTGGCGAAATGTTTCCATAGTAAAGATACCCAAGTGTATAATTTATCAATTTGATGGTCCTGTAAACCAGTTAGCATCACTACCAGTAAGTTGATCCATCAGAGTTAAGAAGGAAACATAGACTGTATGACTGTATGTTGTGCTCCCAGCTAGAGATCTTCCCTCTACAAACACAGATCAAGAACTGAGACCAGCAACCAATCACAGCACCAGGAATTCATCCAATCAAGTGCGACAAAAGCTCCTTTTCTAGCCAATCACAGAGATCGTTATTATAGCCAATGAGAAGGCGGCCCGCACCTGACGTCAACCAATGAGTAAGCAACGCGGGATGATGACGTCATGGGGGGTATAAATAGCGGGACTTAGACCGTTCTTACTTTTAGTCGTCATTTACTGTGTTGAGGCAGAGGGAATAGTACGATCGTCCGCATCTTGAAGGTACGCCGTGTTACTTAAGTTTTGGTGAAATATCTAGTTTTGTTTGTAGTTGAAGCGTGTTGGTGCATGTGTGGATGCCAGGATGTTCTTGTGTGGAAGGTTTGTAACTTGTGAAAGTTATAATATTGGCGTCACTTCCACCATCTTTGTTTACCAGTGAACCAAGATGGCCGCCGCGCCTTCCTCGTTACTTTAAAAAAAATATTTTGGCGGCAAATCTCCCGCCAGAACCCCGTAGTGTCTTCCCAGGGAGAACAGGATCCAAAATTTCAAGCACCTGCCAGCACCTCATGTTCTAAGTCAATCAGTAATGTTCAGTTGTCTTAAGGTTTTGAAAGTAAAATCAGTGGAAAAATTCCCCCCCCCCCTCTTTGAAGGAACACTGCCGTAGGTGGATTAGCCCATGCTAGGCTGGTCCAATTCGCCCACGCATGCACCTGTCCAAGATTTTTTTTTTAATAATTTTCACTACAATGTTACATTTGGTTCAACTCATTTACAACTTGTTAGACCAATATTTTCTTGTATCCTTTCTAAATCTTAATTCGTCCAGCTTTAATCCTTGCTGAAAGTCGTGTAGGTTCGATATTTTCATTACCCTTTTTTGTGAAAGTTAAGACACATGTGCAACATCTGGAAATCTTTATTGTAGACGTTTCGCCATCCAGTGGCTTTATCAATACAGATTCTAGGACATAAGAAGACAGTAGAACTATATACAAAAGATGAGGTAATCAGTCCCTCGGCCTTGGAGTTAGTGTTCACAGCATCGTGGTGGAGGAGAATCTGGAGCAAAGGCAAGAAGACTGGCGGTTATATAGGCGTCAGTGGATAGGGACGGGCAGCAGACGAGGGCAAAGTCACTGGTAGGCGGGATTCCCCAGTGGAAGTAGGTCCTTCCCAAAGAGATGGGTTAGTTGCAGCAGCCGTGAAGAGAGTCTTGTAGATGTCCTCTGAACCAAGATTCCATGATGTTGCAGTGTCTGACAAGTTGTGCAAGAAAGGTATAAAATACCAACAATATGAAAGTTAAGACACATGAACTTAACGAGCACTGCTACAGGCCTACTGGCCCATGCTAGGCAAGTTCAACTCGCCCATTCTGGTACTTTTCTAACCTATTTTTTAAGATATACAATGTTTTAGCTTCAGTGACACTGCTTGGCAGCTTGTTACCCCAACTACTATTGAACCCATACTTTCCTCAGTCATATCTTCCCTTCCTCCCCAAGTCTGCCTTTCTAAAGAGGATCTGGTTCAGTGCCTCAAGCTATAATTGTAGGAAAGATTTCTGAGACATGGGGTTAGCTTTGTCATCCTCTTTTATACTGGTTTCCAACTTTTAAGGCATATCCCCTCTGTCTTTCTGGAGTGCAGGCATCTCCCCACTAATTTTTTCCCCTTTAATGAAAACTTGCTTGTCAGCTATAACTACAGGAAAAAATTTCCTCTATTGTGTGTGCCTTTTCTTATGTGTAACTCAAAGGCTTTGTTGACGTCCATATACTTGCTGTAAGAACACAAAGGAGCACTGCACTGCTGCAGGCTTACTGGCCTATACTAAGTACATCCAAGTCGTCTATTGGCCTAAGCTACTAATGTCCAAGTCGCATCCACGTAAGAAGGTTCTATTAACTCGTATACCTTGATGGGACAGTGTAAAAAAATCATAAGGCAGGAATGTCCATGTAAAACAGTGCTGAGCTTAGATTAATTTCTTAGGTGGTGGCTTTAAAGAGCCCTGGCAATAATGGATTCCAACCATCTTTCCCTCAATGGAGTTTTTTTTTTTTTATAACCGTTGTGGATCACATTCTGGGGAAGAAACTTAACCTGTTGTCTTGTGTACTGGTACATAGTTTTTCATACCTTCGAATCTGCCACTTGCCAGTATTATTGACCTTAGCACTTGTCAGATTCCCCTCATTTTAGTTTTACTCTATTCATAAAAATTTATTCTTTCTGTTAGATTTGTTTTTTCTTGGTGTGCCACAGTGAAAGGGTTAGAGGTCCATAATAGAAATATTAAGAAATGGTCAGTGCTGTGCATCCTACAATACTGCATCCTGCAACACTGTCCTACATTTAAAGATCAATAAATTCCAATATTAATCCCAACCTGAAGCACTTTCTTGATACAACAGGAACTGCCAGAAGTCTGGCAGCATTTTCAAAACCATTAAAAACCTCTCCCCCTAACATATGCCATCAGCCAAACATGTAAAACAATATACTAATCTTATTCTCAATATATGTAATCCTCCCACTATTAAAATATTGTGCCCCTTGATGTTAGTATGCTAAATCCTCATTACCTGCAATCATAGTCACTTGTAATTCCTTAATTAAACAATTAAACTTGATAAAAGCCATAAAGCTTGTACTAATAGAATATTCAATTCTCTTGTATTCATTGTAACTCCTAAATTTATATTTACTCGCCTAAGAGACTGAATAAAACCACTCAAATTGTCATTCCCTTGTTAATCTCGAGTTAGTCTAAAGGTTGCCAGATGTGCTCTGCATATTAAGGGGCTTTATGCGTTCACAACTTCGTCATTTGCCTTTGTACAAACATTGTATTATGCTGAAAAGGTATGTATATTAAGTTATAAAACCATAAAATTTGAGGAAATGCTTCAGATGTTAATTTTAAGCTATACACAGATGGTTTTTTTTTTATCTGTGCACTGCGTGGGGCAGTGATGGCCACTGAAAGACTGACGCTACTTGGGAGTTTGTTCCATTAATCTATGACTATTTCCAAACCAGTGGTAGCACTTCATGTATCCTTTCTATATCAAAATTTGTTCAGCTTGAAGCCATTACTAAGAGTTTTGCCTTGATTAGACACAATTTCAGTACCCTATTATATTTCCTCCATTTTCATAAAACACCAGGATATTTTTGCAGGAACTTTTTGCTGATCAGTTGCTCTCATCAGTCCAATGTAATGAATAATTCTGTTGACAGTGGAAGACTTAAAGTAGCTTGAGGTGATCACTCCTGTAAAGCAGATGGATTGTTCTGTTTTGGAGTGATAGTTGCTGGCTGTTGAAACCACAATAGATACCGAAGGTGTGCAAAAGTATTGGTGGTGAAGGTTAATTTTGGACATCAGTATCTCCCTAAAATTGACTTATCTGCAAAAATTTGGGTATTGCCCCCATATCTAATAAGTACTCAAGTGCTTTGTTCATCTACTTGTTTTATGAACCATTAATGTTATATCTACTTTTCTTGTGAAATTTGCACAAATTAAAAACAAGTGCTAATTATCCTCAGCCTGTCATCCTAGGAAAGATTTCTGATACACGAGATAAAAGTTCGACCTGTTTTCCAGCATCTTGAATTTAGAAATGTGTGTTAATGATGGGATAGTGAAATTTTTTTTAAATGACCTCGAAATTAGCCGATACTTGGCAATATCATTCAAATTTACACATACCATACTCAGATTTGCATATGCTAGTGCACACCCCTAGTATCATTTCCTATGTATAAAGCTGCATTAGTAATTTTATTACTTTTAATGTATAACTACTACTTTTTGCACAAGGTTGATTACTTAAGTCTTATTTCAGGTGAATCATGGCTCGTACAAAGCAAACAGCTCGTAAATCTACTGGTGGTAAGGCACCACGTAAGCAGCTGGCTACAAAGGCAGCGCGTAAGTCTGCACCTTCGTGGAGGTGTGAAAAAGCCTCATGTTACCGCCTGGAATGTTCCCCTCCGAAAAATTCGTCGTTACCAGAAGTCCACAGAGTTTGATCCGCAATTCCCCTTCCAACCCCTTGTTGTAAAATTTGCACAGGATTTAAAACGGATCTACGTTTAAAAGTGCTGCTATTGGTGCCCTGCAGGTTAGAACTTGTGTTATCTTTAGAAAAAATTTTTTGCAGTACAGGGGGGCCCTGTTGTGTGCATTTTAAAGTTCGGGGGCTACTGCGTAAAGCTAAAATCACTAAAAAGTGAATCTAGCTTTTTCAAAAATGCATATAAACCCTGAAACATGGTTTTACTCTATCATGTATTGGCAGTATAATAGTCCTAAAAATGCTATACAGTACATTTTATTACCTTAAAAATTTTGCACCATAGCTTATAGTGGTAATATTTTTTTATTGTAGAAAAAAATTAAAGGTGAAAAAGGAAAGGTAAGGTTATGAGGATAAAAAAAAGATTAGGTGTAAAAGGAAATTGAATATCAGATTGGAGGGAAGAGTAGGAGGAGGTGAAGTTTTCAGATATTGGGGGAGTGGGTTTTGCGGATGGGTCTATAAAAAGATGGGGAAAATCATAGAATTGATAAAGGGAAAAAGGAAGTAGTGGTGCACTTGGGGTCTGTGGAGACAAAGAATTTGTCCTTGGAGGCAAAAGAGGGGAATGTAGAGTATAGTTTTACCAATGCTCTTATATGGGTGTGAAGCGTGGGTGATAAATGTTGAGCGAGGAGAAGGTGGAGCTAGTGGATGATGTCATGTCTTGAGGGAATTGTTGTAATATAATGCAGAGAATTCTGTGTTTGGAAGTAGGAGGAATGGGGTTAACCAAACGTTGTCCAGAGCTGAAGGAAGGGTTGTTGAGGTGGTGCGGACATGTAGAAGAAGCGTCATGTTCACGCCTGTATCAGTCTGCCCTCCAAAGGAAGTCGGGTTACAGGTCGCCAGGAAGTTGGAGGGAGGCTTCAGAGGTTTTTGTTCGGGACTTGACTTCCAGCGGATCTCGTGACGTGTTTGATAGGAGGTGCATGGAGAAAATTGTTTTAAATACTTAGTGCTGTAAAAGTTTTGAGCAAAGAACTTTTGAGAGGTTTTCTGGGAAACGGCTGTAGGCCGGTTTAAAAAGTCCTATGGAGTACATGACTGCACTCTGAAGGAAGGGATGTTAATGCAGCCTAAAAACTGTAGTGTACATTCTGGCAAGAACGTGATGAAAAGTGAATATGGTGAATTTACTTTTTCGAACCACCTGCCTTGGTGGTGGTGGATATATATAATTGTAAAAAGTCTGAATAAATGAAGAATGGGTATAATTGAAAATCGCTGTATTAGCAAATTGTATAGCAGGACCTGCCTGTACACATTCTACACATTATCCCAGTTACATTGTTAAATGTAGTTGGCTAGGTCAAACTGTCAAGCTACATTGTCGTGGAAAATTTCTATTGCATAAGGTATAATTATATCTTATGCAATAGAAATTTTCCACGACAATGTAGCTCGACAGTTTGACCTAGCCAACTACATTTAATAATGTAACTGGGAAAATGTATAGAATGTGTACTGCCTATTGAATTAATGTACTGCTGTACATTAATTAAATAAGTATGTTACCCATTCAACCCCTCCCTCCCCCTCCAAAATAAAAAAAAATAAATACATGCATATATATTCCTAATTTAGGTGAATTTTTCATAATTGTGGATTTGCTATGAAGGGTTGGTATTGCACCCCCCCCCCCCTTCCATCCCTGACTTTTGAGTTTTACTAGATTGTTTCAATTAATGGGGTGGCCCATTCAAGCACCCAGAAATTTGTAATTTGATCAGTTTTAAAATGTTTTCAACCCATTCTAATTTAAAAGATCAAAAATACCTTAGGCATTCAGCCACTTGTGCAATAGAGAATTTTTCCCGATGGTAATGACACCAAAAGAATGAAATTTGGTTGAGAACTCGTGGAATTACGCTTCCGCAAAGTTAGTGGTCTCGGTGACGTATACGCATCGGTGATTTCGCCGACTTTGAGCCCTGTTTTTGGTCAATTCCATTGTTCCAGTTGACCAAACTCGTAGCTATTTCTTTAGAACTCCATTTTTTCTATCAGTTGAGTACAAGAAACTGCCCATTTACCAATTCGAGCTACCCAATAAAGTGATCAGAGATTGGCAATTTGGCCAATTTCATGCAAATTAAAAAAGATGCCAATTTCAAAATGGTCCAGAATAAACAATGTAGACAGTCTTGGCACTAAAATATCTGTTCATTAGTCACGTCTCTAGGCCCCTCTTATATTACTATTGCTATCCATTTACTGCTATGCAGTGGTAATAAATATCAGTGAAAGAATATTAGACTCCCCAGTTGACATGTATTGGATGTGTAGTGTGATTTGCTTACTCCTGAACATTGGTAAAAATCTAACATTTCTACTACTTTGAGCTCAATTTCAAGGTAGTTTTCATTGTGAAACTAAACAAAATCATCTCTATTTCTGTAATGTGTTTTCCATTTTATCACATGAGACCATGAAAATGATCATACAATGGTAAATACTATATGAAAATACACCTCAAAGTCGGCATTTTAATCCAAAAAAGTCTTTTTTTTTTTCTCATTATGCACTGCGTGCTGCAGGATATTTTTTGTGGTGCACACTGACTACACAGACCCATTCTCACATGTGGGCCTACCAGCTTTATCCTGCTTGATTTGAAGCCACTAGAATTTACACGTATAAATGCATCTGAAACAGTGGCGCGCAAGACACACACATACGACCAAAACAGTCAAAGGGTTAATCACACCCACAAGTTTCTGTAGTATATACCATTGTTCTCCATCTTTGATCTATCACTGGACTTTTTTTGCCCAATTTTTTATATAACTAGAAACTAAGTTGTTCATTTCACTTTTCAGGAAGCTTCAGAGGCCTACCTTGTTGGCTTGTTTGAAGACACTAACTTGTGTGCTATTCATGCCAAGCGTGTCACAATCATGCCAAAGGATATCCAGCTTGCTCGACGAATCCGTGGTGAGCGTGCTTAAGCACAAGCTTGCATAATGGGCTCACTAAAGACATAACCTCGTAAGCTACATACTGCCATGGACAAAGTGAATGTGTTTAGTTTAACATTTTCGGCATGTCGTTTCTCCTGAATTGACTTCGCAGTGCTGGCATGTGCGACTGGCACAAGTTTTTTTTACCGTAAGATAAGGTGAGCAGCTTTTACTGCTCGTTAGTTGAAAAAAATTGTGATGCAAGAGTTTGTAATTTATTTTGTGTGTACAGCATTGTTCAGAACTGTGTATTTGGATGTGATTTTACATTTATTTGTATGCAAGTCTGAAATTCAGCAGTGTGACGAAGACAAAAATACACAGCTCTGGTGTTAGGTTATGTGATCACAAATAATATTCCAAAGTACAAGAAATCATAAATTTCTGGCCTGGGAGCAATGTCATTATTTGTATTGTCATGGTCATAGTGCTCATGATCTTTTAGTTTGTAGTGGGAATACCTTTTTTATTACATTTTTAATTTTGTCTAGATCTCTCTCTCCTCCTCTGGTGGTGCGTGCTTCATGTATAAAATTTAACATGCTCCACTCTATAATTTCTTGATATTGGCAATTGCACTGTAGATTAAAACTCGAAATAAATCTTCTAACATTTAATGTCTGACTTTTAATGTCTTTGCGTACATGTATTTAGAATGTTTGAGGGTACATTTTTAGTGTTGAATATAAATTCCTGGTTAAGTTCTGATTGATATTTTAATGCAAAATGTAGTTCCACTCAAAAATCAGATATTGCTAGCCGTTTTAACTAAATCTTAGTCCTTGTGGCTAAGCGCTTCTTTTTGATTATAATAATTTAACTAAATCTTGCCTTTATATACGTATTTTCCAGTCCATAAAGTACTGTTATTAAATACGGCCTCTCCTCGCTTAATGAGAGTTCCATTCCTAAGACCGCGTTGGTAAAGAATTTCACTAAGTGAAGAGCACACTAGTGGTAGTGAGAGCACTAGTGTTTGTGTTGACTATCTTGGATATTGTTTTAATGGCGCCTTTGCCCCATTTGTAACATTCCTGGTATATTTCTAAATGTTTATAGAGCAGTGTACCATATATTGTAATAGAGGAAAGTAGCTCTAATATACATTATTTAGGTGTGCATACTGGTCATAGAATCCGTTGTAGAGTAGTTGGTAAATGAGTACGTTGCTAAGTGAGGAGAGGCTGTACTAAATTAGAGGGGACTGTTCCTCAATGCTGGCAGTCCAAAGTGGACAAAAACATGTTCCCCAGGTACTAGGGGTTAGCACTCCTGAGTAGAGGGGTTCCTGAATGGGAATTTGATTAAAACTAATTCCCTTGCCTGCAGTGCTGTATGGATGGCCCCTATGGGGTTTGAAGTAGACCAGCAGCACAATGTTACATGCTTCAACAATGCATTAAATTTTTTTTTTTATCTTGAAAGCCAACGGAGTGTTCACGAAATGACAAAAATATCTTCCTTTCTTTTTTTACCCGTAAATGGTCCGAACGTATATATACGTTCACTACCATACTGCCCCAACTTTTTTGAGAAAAAAAAAACAGCAATGTTTTTTTTAATAGGAAAAAAGAGCATATGGTACCCAGGCATCTCCAATTATTTTAATATGGTGCACATTGAGTGCTCACACCCATTCTCTAATGTCTAGGCGACTCGGGCTTATCGTGGCAATGTAAAATGTATGACACATAAAACGTATATATACGTTTGGGGCACTAGCGGTAAAAAGTATATATACGTTTGGGCCGTTTACGGGTTAATGTTCTTGTTTGTCACCATAAAGCAGTTGGTGGCCAAATTTGAAGTCGGGGACAGGAAGGTCATCAGGTTGAGAATAATGCATGGTATATGGAAATAATTTTTCTTGCCAGAATTTGGGGGACAAGTCGAGCAGTATGGAAGTGAATGTGTTCAAATATTTGAGAGTAGACTTAGTTGGCAGATACCCTTATAGATTTGGCACTTGATTATAATTGTCAGCGGATGGGTTTGTGAATGAGGTTAACCAGAGAATTGACGAAGGAAAAAAGGCGAGTTGTGCATTGAGGTTATTTGTGGAGACAAAAAAAACATTATCCATGGAGGCTCAGCGCTGTATGACCCTGGTAAGTTTAGTGCTTCGGTTTGATTATAATAATATCCATGGAGGCAAAGAAGGGAATGTATGATAGTATAGTGGTACCAACACTTGTATGGGTGTGAAGTATGGGTTGTAAATGCAGCGAGGAAAAGGCTGGAGGCAGTAATGTCAGGTCTAAGGGCAATGCCTGGTGTAAATATGCAAAGAATTCCTAGTGTATAAACTAGGAAGATGTATGGAGTTACTAAAAGCATTATTCAAGAGGGTTGAAGAGGGGTTGGTGTCCTGGGAAAGGATGATAAGAGGTGGTAAAAGGGGGTTTAGTGTGCAAGGAGCTTGGACATGCAGCAGGCATGTATGAGCATGTTACATAAGGAGTGACTGGAAAATGGGTTTTGGGACCTGACAATCTGGAGTGCAAGCAGGGCAGTACTTTGCAAAGGGATTCAGGGCAACTGGTTAGCTGGATTTAAGTCCTGGAGGTGGGAAGTAGTCTGCACTAAACTGTTGTATTTAAGCGCCTCTGCAAAGATAGCCAGGCTCCACCAACACTGCAGAACGTGGTGGGCTAGCTGTGAGATTTTCAAGGATAGCTCCTGATCCAAGGGGCTGACCAGGGCACGACTGAGCAGGACTGTGTGAATGCCATGAGAAGATTCCAGAGCAGTGAGAGGACATCCCAGTGCATTGTTTCAGCATAAATAGTGGAAGTGTTGTGCAGTTTGTGAGAGTTTGGTGTGGCGTGTGCCCAGGTTGGGGCCAGGCAGTGCCTCCCCCCATGCTGCCGGGGGGAGGGGGCTAGGGGTGTGGGTGAAGATACAGCAAACATTGTTGGTTTTGGCGAGTCACATGCCCATATCTTTCATGATGTGCATGGGAAACGAATGAATGTGTTTGTTGTAGGCAGGACAGTGTGAACAACAGTGCACAATCAGTGTGTAGGGAAGTGCCCCTTAACCCTACTCCCCGGGCCTTGCCCCGTGTGTAGTAAACGACGCTCATAACCGCTCACCCTTGTGCCCCTACCATTCAACTCCCCCGCCTCACCCACCCAACTCCCAGTGCCGCCACAACTGTAGAGGGTAAGTTTTCCCTCCCAGCCCACGTCGGCGATGGCACTGCAGGGACAGTCCCGTGGAGTTCGGCTGCAAGGCAGCTGTCGGGTGTGCCACAGGCAGTGTGCACTCAGTTCCTCAAGCTTCAACATCCGTGCACATGGTGGGTGTCTGAGCACCCGGAGGGCTCCAGGTGGCAACAATCAACAGCCCCTCCCAGCAGATGTAGGCGACAGCTGCCACGCCTTCACCTTTACAGAGGGCCGGGGATCTTCAATCAACTTTGCGTCCACCAGAAAGCTGACACGTCCCCAGGGCAGCTCTCCCTTGGGCTGCTAGCAGTCACTGGCTTCTTCGACCTCTTGGGGAGGGTCAATGGTGCTCCTGCATAAAACAGATCCCGGGGCAACTTGCTGCTGTTTGCAATGGCTGTCCTGCCGAGGAGGGACAGGCACCTAGCAACGTCTGGAGGGAACTCATCCATTGCCAACAATGTTTAACTGATCATTACTCTGAAAATTGTTCATGATTGTAATCGTGTTCACGATTCATAACCTTTGAAACTTGTCATGATTGTGACCAGCTCTTACTTTTCTTCCCTCCTTGCAGACGGCCCAGCCTTTGACTTGTATTCACTTTTTGACTTCGTCAGGAACTGCTTTACTGTACAAACTTTGACACTCAGCTCTCAGCGTCCCTTCCAGCCCTTTTCTCCTTTCACCTCTGATCCCCTTTCCACCTAACTGTTTATAGCCCCAGCATTATTTTCTGCCCTGCAGTGCTGTATGACCCTTGTTGGTTTAACACTTTCTTTGATTATATTATTCATAACACATGAGATGTAGGAGGAGCTTCAGATATTAAAGAAGTTAGAATGAAGTAAATCCTGAGTCTTGATAGAATATTATTATATGGTAAACTGTTAAAGTACCTAAAAAAAATACTGATAATGCTCTGTAAACATTTTTTATAATAGTAATCACCTTAGGTTAAACCTGACACTTATTTCACAGTGCTATGACTATTCCTGGCTGGTCTCTCAGGCATATTACACTAAGTGCACCCTACCCTGCGTTATCACGGGGGAGCGTTACCCCTGTAGGGCTGAGTTCCTGGGGGGGAAGGCATTCAGGCTTAATTCAGGAAATTGGAGCACAGATCCAATTCCCTAAATCAAAAGGCCCTCGTATGCATCAAGGAACCTCCCTTGAGGGGACCCTACCCTGCAGTGCTATGAGACCCTTGTGGATTTAGCATTTGGTTATGACTATTAATAGTGTGGCCCTTAAGATTATCAAAAAGAAAGTGCTAAACCTACAAGGGTCATACAGTGCAGTGGGGCAAGGGTGGAGGAGACAAAAGGGAGTTCGAAAGGGCTGTGCTAAAGGAAATATAATCAAAGATTGTGTAACAAATCTATTGCTGTCAAAAAGTTTGAGGGAGTCTGTGTCAAAGATGGAGCTGTCATTGAGGAGGGAAGATAAAGAAAGGGTGGTAAATCAGTGATGATGTATAAGGTAAATTCTGTGTGCTCGCTAATAGACTGGAGAGTCCAACAGAATATGGCACTGAAATTGGAACCTGACAATTCACACAGTTACTGGGTGTGTCTCCACGAGATACTCACGAGTGAGATGTGTGCGCATGATGCAAAAATGGGAAAAAGTGTACTCTCTTAATCATAACATTGACAATAAGACCAGGATACTAAGCTTGGCTTGACAGAAGGTAATTAATTATGAATCAATTTAGACACGGTTGTGAGGGTGGCTAGAAATGACAGCAAAATAATCTGAGAATGGAAAACCTCTTATATGAAACTGGAAGTTTGTGTACCACTGATTGCACAGCAGAGTATGCCTGCTCACTGCCCTGAACATCAACATGTTAGGTACCCAGCAGAATGCTATTTCTTTGTTTTAGCTAGAAATGCGGAGCAACTGAAGTTGTATATGAAGAAGTAGGGGATGAGGCGAATTAAATTTTTTGATGGCTTGCCAAGCACTAAAGCAGTCCTAAACTACCACAAATGATGATGTAGGCCTGGATGCAATACAGATAATCGCTATGAGAATTTCATACAATTAAGCTCTGAATGTGTTAGCCAAGTCTAATAGATGACCTAGCACAGTACTGTCAGGGAACACTGCTGCAAACCCAACACCATCAGAGGATTTAGAACCATCTGTGTAAACTGCCATGCTTTGAGAATGAGACCGGAAGTGGTTAAGAAACAGGGAGCGAGAACTCGGTCAGTATATGAGCTTTCGCCCAAGGCAGTGGGGAAGAACAGACACGAACTGTCAGAACCTGCCAAGGTACAGGAGAAAAGTTAGATGCTAGAGTACACACAAAGGGGGCAGCTGAAGAGAAGTCAAGAGCGAGTGAAGACAAAGAGAACAGATGGAATAAATGGGCAGCAAACAATGGACCTTGACTAACGTCCGCTACTATCCTGCATGTAGAAGGATCGTGATGG